ATATTTTTAGGCACAAAAAATGGTATCAGATAATAAAGCTCCAGTTGTAAAAGAAACTGAAACAAAAATTACTGAATCTTCCGATGCTAAAGAGGAAAATAAGGATGAAAAGGTAGAAAAAGAATCATTTCTGTTTATTTCTGTAAAATTTTTATTACTATTAGAAAGAAGATGATGATGAAAATGAAGAAGATAAAGGTAAAGAAAAACCAAATACAGGTAATGGATGGACAGGACCTCATTATTCATGGACACAAACACTTGAAGAAATTGATGTAAGTCCTTCTTTTTGTTTCTATTCTTTATCTTAAATTTCTTCTATAATAAAATTAGTTACGTGTTCCAATTAACATTAGTGCTCGTGTAAAATCTAAAGATATTATTGTTAAATTCGATCGTAAGGTAAATAAATTCTAAAATACTATTATTTGAAATAATCTATCGTATATAATAGCATTTAACTGTTGGTCTTCGTGGTCATCCACCAATTATTGATGGCGAAACATTTGCTGAATTGAAAAAAGAAGATTCCATCTGGACATTAGATGATGGAAAACTTATTCATATTGTTATTGAAAAAGTATTTATAGTCTATAGATTTATTTTGTATATTTAATAATGAAATTTAGGTTAACAAAATGGAATGGTGGAGTCGTGTAGTAAAATCTGATCCTGAAATTAATACACGTAAAGTTCAACCAGAAAATTCAAAAGTAAACATGTTTTTAAAGAATATTTATTATTTTATTTCAATTTATTATAGTTATCTGATTTGGATGGTGAAACTCGAGGTATGGTTGAAAAAATGATGTATGATCAACATCGACGTGAAGCTGGTTTACCCACTTCTGATGAACAAAAAAAACAAGATATGCTTCAAAAGTATATGAATTTATCCTAATATAACTATTTTTTCATTTCTTATCTATTAGATTTATGGGTGCTCATCCGGAAATGGATTTTAGTAAATGCAAGTAAGTGTATTAATTTATAAATTTTATTTCTAGTACTACAATTATTCATTTTTATAATTAGATTCAATTGATCAATCTTCATTTGTTTTTTTTATCATATAAACCAAGAATGATTTTGATAAACTGTGATTAACCACGTTCGTTATTGCGTTCTATCTTTGTATCGTTTTCTTTTTGAATTAAAACATAAACAAAAAATATCATGCACATCATCAACATTTTTATGCTAAATAAAAAACTAGCCTATTCACTGAATATTTCGCACTGATTGAATTCGGAAAGTTCTTTTTAGTCACTATAAACCAGGGTTGCCAACTATACCCCATTTTGTACCTCTGGGGGTACGTATTTTGTACCCCATTTAGGCTTTTAAATCTTCGGTGAGATTAACTAGTAATAGAAAAATTGCGTGTTCTTCATTATTACAAATCCAAAAACGCTAAAAACTGGACCTGCCACCACTTGTAACTAGACGAACATTATCCTGAATTTTTAGATCTTTAGCCCTTATTAGAGGGAAGATTTTTTTCCATGTTCTGAAATCAAAATAGTCAAAATTTTCGGTAGACGTAATTCAAAATTTCAGTAAAGTGCTTTTATTTAGGTGTCTTTTTTATATGGTTTCATATAGTACAAGCAGCTGATTACGATAAATTGATTTTCAGCCTATGAAAAACCTTTTAGATAAGAAAAGGTTTAAAACTTCTAAAGAAACCATTTTTTTCGTGAAACGCGGAATTTTCTGTTTCGCTCCCTTTTTCAGCTTAGTAAAATACTTCTTTTGAGATGGGTGTGTGTTTGGATATATCTCAATATACCCACACCCACATATACACTCTCAAAGAAGTTTTATTTCATCGGTTTTCTCGGTTAAATCCTTTATTTCTCGAGGGACATAATGTACCCCAGATGTACCCCATTTGCACTTTCATAAAGCCCATTTAAAAAATAAGAAATGGCAACCCTGCTATAAACTCTCGGACTTCTATAATCATATTGGCTGTGTTATTCTGTACATTTTCTCTTCACAAGAATTCTTCAGATTTTTACTTGGAAAGATAAGATGATGACTTGTAGCGTCCTCTTAAGGATTTCCTATTTAAATCAATCGATTTTGAAACCAAAATATACTTTTAATAAATAATAAAACTTAAGATGAATTTAATTCACGTACTAAATTTTGATCTTGATTATAGTAGAATACAATTGGTTGTATTATTCGACCAATGATGTATATTAGTACAGCGTAATCTTGTACTGACTAACTAACAAGTTTTTTAGCAGATTTAAACGAAGTAGTAACTTTTTCTTTTAGATATAAAATGCCTAAACGTAAAACTGGGCAACGTAAAAAAGCTGAAAAGCAAAAAGAACGACAAAAAGTACTAGCATCAGCTTATAGCAATAAACAATTAGTTGAATGGCCATGCAATTTTTTGATGGTATAAAGATTAAACAAGAAAAAGAAATTTATTTTTATTAATTAACTTTTTCTATTCATTTAAAGGAATGTGATAGATGTAAAAAACAACAGAAAAATCGTGCATTTTGTTATTTTTGTCAAGCTGTTCAAACATTACCTGTTTGTGCACAATGTGGTTTGTTTTTATAAATATCTATTTAATTTATTAATCTCTTATAATTTAAGGAAAACAAAAATGTCTATCAAAATCAGGTGATTGTCTTGTTAAACATGGTGTTATACATGCTACAGGTCTTCAATTAGTGGTAAGGTAAGTTAATTCTATTTTAGTCTTATTATATATTTTATTATTTTGAGGGCGCTATTTGTGATTATTGTGAAGCATGGATATGTCATTCAAAAAAATGTTTAACAACACATCCATGTCAATGTCCATTACAAAATGGTGATTGTATTGAATGTAATCGAAGTGTTTGGGAACAAGGTAAAGAAAAATATTATTTTTAATAGAATATATGTATTTGTTTTATTTAACTAGGTGGACGAGTTTTTCAATGTTCATTTTGTACTCAATTTCTTTGTGAAGATGATCAATTTGAACATCAAGCATCATGTCAAGTACTAGAATCAGAAAATTATAAATGTAAATTAGAATAATATAGAATTAATCAGTTTTTATCTAGTATTCTGAAAATATTTAGGTGCATCTTGTAGTAAACATGGTCAATGGTCATGTTTAAGGTAAAAGTTTGATGAATCAAAAAAATAAAAGCTAAATTTTAATAATTTTTTTATAGGTGTAAAGTGTGTTATTGTGATGAACATATAAAACGACGTGGTTTTAAATATACTCAAGGTGAAGCATATCCATGTCCTAAATGTAATTTTCCAACGAAAGAAACAAAAGATTTAGCTATGTCAAGTAAGATAATAATCGGCTGGTTTGTTTTTTGAAAAGTAAAAAAATCAATTTTGTTTTCTCTTAGCTCGCGCTTATGATTATGGAAGAAAAACTGAAAAGGGTTATGGAGATATAGACGAGGAAGAAGAAGAGACTACGTTAGGCATGACTGGTGGGTGTAATTATTTCACACGTGGTGATGGTAGTCGAAATTTCACATTTGGTGGAAAAGCGATTGAAGAACGAGCGCCAAGAGATGAAGATGACAGCGACGAAGGTTTGATTTATTAATTTTTCTATTTTTAATTAAATAATTATTTTTGCTTAGATGAAGATGATGACGAGGACGACGAAGATGATGATGACGATGATGATGAAGAAGATGATGATGAGGAGGAGGAGGAGGAAGATGGTGATGATAATAATGAAGACAAAGAAGAAAATGAAAAATCACCCGAACAACAATAATTTAAAAAAAAAACAAGCAAATGAATTTCAATTGTTATTTGTTTTTTCCGTTCATTAACCAGCCTGTTTCTTGTATCCATTCTTCTAATGTTTTCATTTTATTATAAACTTCTTTTGTTTTTTCCGGATGTCTTTCTTCAAAATCTCCATATTCATTATACCATCTCATATTATCAAGTGTTTCTTTACTTTGTCCAACACATTGATCATAAGTCAATGGTGTATATCGAATTTTTTCATTTCCTGTAACATGTCGAATTATATGACATATTTCATCCATTGTTAATCGTTGAGCTACAATTGGAATAATATTTCCTTGTCCCCATTGATCAGGATTTTCGAAACATTGAATAACAACCGGACCAGTATCACGAACATCATAAAGAGGAAGACGAGCATTTGGTTGTAGTAAAACACGAAATTCAAAATCAATTGTAGGTTGAAAAAATGTTTCAAAATTTTGATAATAAAAACCAACATAAATAAATGTTGTATAGGGAAATAATGGTGGATTTTGTTGAGCACGAATATAAGATTCAACACGAGCTTTCATCCTAGAAGAATTATTACAATTATTTCGTTAGCATATAATCTTCACTATCGTGTTAGTCAATAGTTATATTTTTCTAAACTTTCCTTACATATAATGTGGTAAATCAAGTTGTCCGTTAGAAATAGTAACTGTATTTGGTAGACTACTCCAGATGAAATGTTGGACACCTTGTTGTTTAGCTGCATTAGTCATATTCATACCTTGTTCATATTCTTTATTTGCACCACATTCCCAAAAGTTAGTCATGGCAAATACACCATATGCATCTTTGAAGGCTTCTAAACACCCATCAAATGAATCGATATTACATGATACCATTTCAACACCTTGTTCAATTAATTTCTAATAGAAAATTCAATAGAAAATTGTCTTAATTTGAAGAAAGCGATTACTTGACTATCTTTCGATGAAATATTTCTTGAAAGACCACGTATTATCCATTTATTTGATTTAATTAATTCATTTATTACACTACCACCTTGTCTGCCAGTTGCTCCAACAACAACAATTACTCGTTTCATCTTTTTTTTCTCTATGTCACTTAAGATAAAAGTCATTTATACACTGATAAAACTTCTATGAGTAATCGGTCAACAAACATAAGTTTATTTCTTCGTCTTTTTTTTCATTATTTAGAAGTTTCTCTCTCATAGAACACAGTTTACAATGTAAGACTAAAACATGATTTCGGTTTTAGCAAAAAAGATATTATTTGTTAAATATATATTTAGGTCAGCAGGAATAACAAATCCAAACTATCAATCAAATAGTGTTCATTATACACCTCCAAACCGTATTAAACAGTTACAGGGACAAGTTGATGAGGTATATATATATATGAAATATAAAATATTTGTTTTAATTATTTAAATTAGGTAACCGATGTTATGAGAAATAACATTCGATTAGAATTAGAACGTGGTGGAGCACTTGATGCACTGGAACAGAAATCAGGTAAAATGCATTTAAGATTAATAAAGTTTTAGAAAAAAACAAAACTGATACTTTTTATTTATTTATATCAATAAAGACATTTTAAATGAAGGAGCACGAAGCTTTTCTATTCGTTCAAAACAACTTAAAAAGAAGTATTGGTGGAAAAATCTTAGAGTAAGTACATGCAAATCTCTTTTTTTCTCTACCGAAAAACTTTCTTTATTGTTTAGATGTGGATTATTCTTAGTATTGTTGTCGCAATAGTTATCATTATAATTATTCGTAATAACTGATGTTTATAAAATCATTTTTAAACTATTTGTTTTCTAGTTGCTTCTGTCCTTGGTCCAAAGAAAAAAACATAGACGATATCAATTTGGTTTTTTTTGGACTATTTTTTAATACTTATGTGCACTTATCAATTCTTTTTCCTTTGATTCAATAATGAAACAGAACAAGATTTACAATTCAAAGAAAAATCTATATTTTTTATACAAATAATTAGAGAATTTATGCATGAATTATAGTCCGTTATTTTGAGAATTTTGTAATTAAATCAAATCAAAATAATACTTTTCGATAGTTAATAAAAGATAGATTTATGTTAATTGCTATACAAAGAATGATATTGAAATGTATCATTTTCAAATGATGAATTTTTATGTAGATTCGCATTTGTTACAGTGAGTTTCGATCTATAGATACTGCTGTCGACAGATATAAATTCACTATGTTACGAACCGTGGCTTCTGGACATTTTTCTTAATTGGTGGAAACAATCAAAAATAGACAACAAAAGATGATTAGACGGGATAATTCTAGTTTAGCATAGATATCATATCTTTCGAGCTGGTTAGCGTCGAATGATACATGCGATCGAGATCGTGTTTAACATGTACTATGGGTTAAAGTATTTAAAGCAAGCGAGATAAAATTCGATAAATTAAAAGAAATTGTCGACCGTAGATGATTATAGATTTTCTACAATTACTACAAACGGGCAATAATGGAATAACTTTCAAAGATTGTCGTTTTGGATTAAAATGAACAAATAAGAATGGAATCAAACTTTATATTTATACACATGAAGATTCAATTGTTAAAAATTCGTTGATTAAATCACATAAGAAACTAGATCTATTGTTTGAGCATCTGTTAACTATAAATAAGTCTCCATACAACCAAGCAAAATTCAAAAAGAGAGATTTACTATTGATAAAAATATTCTAAAAGTTCCCGTTAAAATAAATGTTTTTCTGAGTATTATTGTATAAATTAGATTTGTCAAAATTTTCCTTACATATAATGTGATAAATCAAGTTGTCCATTAGAAGTAGTAATTGTATAAAGTAGACTACTCCAAATAAAATGTTGAACACCTTGTTGTTTAGCTGCATTAGTCATATTCATACCTTGTTCATATTCTTTTTTTCTCTATGTGACTCAAGATAAAATTCATTTATACACTGATAAAACTTCTATGAATCATCAGCAAACAAACACAGACTTATTCCTTCGTTTTTTTTTCATTATTTAGAGGTTTCTCTTTCGTAGAACACACTTTACAATGTAAGACTAAAACATGATTTTGGTTTTAGCAAAAAAATGATTGTTCGTTACATATGTATTTAGGTCAGCAGGACTAGCAAATCCAAGTTATCAATCAGACAGTGTTCGTTATACACCTTCACCACGTCTTCAAGGATTACAGAATCAAGTTGATGAGGTATATATACATATATATGAAACAAAAAATATTTGTTTTAATTATTTGAATTAGGTTACGGATGTTATGAGAAATAATATTGGAATAGCATTAAAACGTGGTGAAGCACTTGATCAACTGGAACAAAAAGCAGGTAAAATATATCTACGGTTAATAAAGTTTTAGAATAAAACAAAACTTATAATTTTTATTACTTTATATTAATAAAGAAAATTTAACTTCTGAGACCGAAAGGTTTTCTTATCGTTCAAAACAACTTAAAAAGAAATATTGGTGGAAAAATCTTCGAGTAAGTACATGCAAATCTCTTTTTTTCCCTACCGAAAAATATTCTTAACTTTCGTTATTATTTAGATGTGGATTATTCTTGGTATTGTTGTTGCAATCATCATCATTATAATTATCAGTAATATTTGATGTTTTTAAAATCATTTTTAAATTATTTGTTTTCTAGTTGCTGCTGTTGCCAGTGGAAAGAAAAAAACATAGATGATATCAGTTTGGTTTTTTTTCTGACTATTTTTAATATTTATGTACTCTTATCAATTCTTTTTCTTTTGATTCAATAATTAAATCGAATAATATAAACTAATTATAATCAAGATTTCAGTTTTAATTCTATTTCTATAACTGACTTATAGAGAATTTTTTATTGTTAATATTCGTTTATTTTATAATAGAGAAATACAACATGATTTACACTTCAAAGAAAATTTTGTTATGTTGATTGGTATATAAAGAATGGTATCGAAATGTATTATCTTCAGATGAAGAATTTTTATGTTAATCCGCATTTGTTACATTGAGATCCGATCTATAAATATTGCTACCGACAGATATAGATTCACTATGTTACGAACCGTGGCTTTTTGATTGCGGACATTTTTTTCTTAATTCGTGAAAACAATGAAAAGTAGACAACAAAAGATGATTAGTCGAGGTAATTCCAATTCATAATGACTATCATATCCTTCGAGCTAGTCACCGTGGAATGAAATATGCGACCGAAGTCATGTTAACCATGTACTATGAGCTAAAGTATTTAAAGCAAGCGAGATAAAATTTGATAAATTAAAAGGAAATGTCGCCCGTAAATGATTATAGCTTTTCTACAATTGCCACAAACGGGCAACAATGGAATAACTTTCAAAGGTTGTCGTTTTGGATTAAAACAAACAAATAAGAATCGAATCAAACTTTGTATTTATACACATGAAGATTCAATTGTTAAAAATTCGTTTATTAAACCGTATACGAACTAAATCCATTGGTTGAGCATCTGTTAACTATAAATAAGTCTCCATAAAACGAAACAAAATTCAAAAAGAGATTGTGCTAGATATTTTAAAACTTTCCTTATATAGAAAATGTAAATCAAGTTGTCCATTAGAAATAGTAATTGTATTTGGTAGACTACACCATATGGATCTTTGAAAGCTTCTAAACACTCATCAAATGAATCGATATTACATGATACCATTTCAATACCTTTTTCAATTAATTTCTAAAAGAAAATTCAATAGAGAATTGTCTTAATTTCAACAAAATTACTACTTGACTATCTTTGGATGAAATATTTCTTGAAAGACCACGTATCTGTTAGAACAAAATCTGTAAGAACACCTTAATGGTAGAAGTGATAGTGTAGACTATATTTATCACTTCCAATACATCGTAGTGTAACTACTTTTATTGTGTTACCATTTATCTTCTTTCGCTCTGTAGCTAAATGTGATATTTCGATTACATCACTATCAATAAGAAAAACTCCGCGAAAATAATGTGTAGTTTGTGCAAATCCAATAAGCAGAGCAATAAAGATGACTGTTTCCAAATACAAATATACTGAATATGATGTTGAACTTTGTATTTTCGGGATTGACATATTTTGAAATACATCTAGATGTTTATTCACATCTTTTCGAATAATTAAATCATTCAGTATTCTTGAAAATTCAGTTTGTTTTGCTACAGTCACTCTGTCTCTAAAGAGTCAATCGTTTCATCTTTTTTTCTCTGTGTCACTTAAGATAAAATTCATTTATATACTGATAAAACTTCTATAAACAATCAACAAACAAATATAAGCGTAGTTTTTCGTCTTTTTTTATTATTATTTAGAGGTTTCTCTTTCGAAGAACACACTTTACAATGTAAGACTAAAATATGATTTTGGTTTTAGCAAAAAAAATGATTATTGGTTCCAAATGTATTTAGGGCAACAGGATCCACAGATTCAAACTATCAATCAAACGATGTTCGTCATACATCTCCATCAAGTGTTCAACAATTACACGGACAAGTTGATGAGGTATATATATATATATATGAAATATAAAATATTTATTTGAATTATTTAAACTAGGTTATGAATGTTATGAGAAATAATATTGCATTAGAATTAGAACGTGATGGAGCACTTCATGATATAGAACATAAATCAAGTAAAATATATTTGAGATTAATAAAGTTTTAGAAAAAAAAACTTATAACTTTTATTTATTTATATCAATAAAGGTATTTTAACTGAAGGAGCTCGAGACCTTTATCTTGGTTCAAAAGAACTTAAAAAGAAATATTGGTGGAAGAATCAAAGAGTAAGTATATGTGAATCTTCTTTTTTGTCTACCGAAAAAATTCTTTATTTTTCTGTATTTTTTTAGATATGGATTATTTTGTATATTATTGTTGCATTAGTAATCACTATAATTATCAGTAATAACTGATGTTTTTAAGATCATTTTTAAACTATTTATTTTCTAGTTGCTACTGTCGCCGGTGGAAAGAAATAATAAATGATATCATGATGGGTTTTTGACTATTTTTTAATACTTATTGGTTCTTCTCGCTTGTTTTTCTTTTGATTCAATAATGCAATAGAATAATATGACTTAATTATAATTAAGTTTTCAATTTTAATTCTATATCTATAATTGACTTATGGAGAATTTTTTTCTCGTTGATGTTGATTTATAATTCAAAGAAAAACTTGTTATGTTAATTGGTATACAAAGAATGATATTGAAATTTGTCATTTGTGAGATTTATTCTTACAAGAAAACGACTCATTGTAATCTTCTTTGAATGACTGACAATATGCTTTACTGAAACTATCATAAAGAGATATACAAGAGATTTATCTTAAAACTTTCACAACAGAGATGATATTACGAGATTCAGCATGCAATGCGCTACAAAATATAGAGAATGTTCTTTGTTTTTCAAGTGAAGAAAATGATATTACAAATTTTAAAGTATTCAATTACAGAATAAATCATATTTTATAATTCTTATATTAATACTGAAGGAAGAGATAAACTACAAAATAACTGGTGTCATTAACAGAAAAAAATTGAATAAATCAATATATTTGATGCATTCTTCACATTCATTCTATTTATTAGATATCAAAAGGAAAACGTCACTACGATTTTCGTTACGATCTGCAATACACCAAAACAGACAAGGATGAATTCGATATCTTCGATAATTGAACACGCAGTCTTTTGAAGAAATAATTTTTCTTTTAAAAGTTAACTTCCATCTTTTGATGATTTTGATTCTTCAACAGTTTGCGGTGTAACACGATTTCTATTCATTCTTATTCGCATACATTTACGCCTGATTATTTTATGAAATAAGCATTTCACTTGTCGCCGAAATTGACTTGATGTGAGATAAAAGATATAAAAGCCACCCTAAAAATACAAATCAAATAATCACGATGAAAACAAAAGAATAAATCAATTACTGCATGTTGAATAGTAAAGATTGCAGTAATAATAGTGCTACTTAATCGATCAACTGCAACAGCAAATTCATTATTCTCATCCACTGGACTGTTAATTTCATATATTCGAAAGCAAACAAATGGAGTAGTTGTAATAACAAATATAGCAACTCGAACAAGTATCATCGCTGTTAATTGATGATCAAGACGTCTTCGAACTACTGGCATTTGTCGTCGTATAATACGACGAACATTTTGATAAGCAAGTAAACTGAATAATGATGAGATGATCATTGGTATAACTCCAAGAAGTAAACATAAATGAATGAATGAATAGTAATAGTTAAACGTTGGAGTAAATGTTGCACAACCAGCATCTACATGAATTTCTGTGAAAATTGCAAAAGGAATACCATACAATGCTGCGAATAAACTAACAATAGCAATCAGACAATGTGCTATTTTAACAGTACTTAATTGTCTTAACTGAACATAATAACTTGTCGCTAAATATTGATCAATAGCAATAATACACATGATAGTTGCTAAAATAACTGCAGTAAATTGAAGGAGATATTGTCGAATTTTACACCAAATAAGTGATGTTCGTGTTGGATCATAGCCAAATGCAGCCGTAGTTACACGAACTGCTGATCCAAAAATCAGTTGGTTAGATTGAACGATTGCTGTAACTGTAAGATAGAATGCTGATTGATTTTTTCGAAATATTTTCAATTGTGTAAAAACAAGAATATTAATAATATTTCCAATAACACCACTAATTACAGTAAAATAACCAATATAAACAGATACAATAGAATTAATAAAATCTATTGTTTCTTCTGTCGACGCCATTGTATTAAGAAAAAATATGTCAATTTTTCTTTAACATCTAAAAATATGACTTAAAAACAGTGCATTCTTGTTTTGTAAATAGATCATTGATAAGAATAATATTACTGATGAAATTGTTGAAGTACTCGGAAATTGAAGTAAAAATTTTTTAATTAACGAAGAAACATGCCTTATATGAAAGAATTGACATGATTATTAGTATGTAGTACATAACTTCCTACTATCTCATGAGTATACATCATTATAAGTAAATATAAAATAGTCTTCCAGTATATTCTAAATCTATTTAACTCGAACTACGTGTCATATCCTAAATAATATTTCAAATGTGTGTCAGTATAAACCTAATTCAATGATAATAGCGACTAGTTTAATTAATACCATAAAAACCAAACGATTCTGTACAGTACCTAATCACAATCGTGTTAGATAAATAGTCGAGAAATCGGCGGATCGGCGACCGCCACCCCCTGGAAAATAGATACTTCGACAAATACTGAAAACAGGTAGAACACTACAGGTTTCTCTCCTAAAAAATAATACTACTTTCCAATTTTTTTTATAAACCGTCACCCCCTCATGGAAATCCTGGATCCGCCACTGCTATTATGCACTTAAAAAATAGTTTTATATGGCCTGCACTATAATGCGAAGAAAAACCTAGGTCGTAATTTCTATTCAAAAAAAGGTTTATAGAACATTCCTATTACTTTTTTCTATTGTAATTTTTTACTTGCTTTAGAACTGGAATGTTCTTCATTCTTTATGTTACGTTCCACTTAAGTAATGACTAAGAGTTTGTATTTAATTTAGCACTGCAGAGCTTTTTTAACCATTTACTTTTACTATAAATTAGATTATAATGAAAAAGAAATTAAATCATTTTTGTTATAAAAGAAACACTCGAAAAAAGAAATTTTTCGATTAATATAAAGTCAAAATATAATCATTAAAGTTTTTGATAGTACTGTCAGTATTCTAGATAGAGATAATGCTAAAATTTGGATTATATACACATTCTTGACCCAGATAAATTCATCATGTACGCCCACAACTTTTTCTCTCTTTAACTTCGTCACCGTAAAATCACGCATCCGTTCGTATGACTTATAACATGATAAATAATAAAGTCACACCGTTATAGAAAATCTCTTTCATAGGTGTTCTACTTCTGTTTTGCAACACTTGTAATGATATGAAATCAAACTTTATTTAAATACTAAATACAATATAGAATTTATACACTACAATTTTAATTTTTCAAGAAAAATCCTATTGATAGTTTATAACACTGTCATTTATTTCACCGAATACTATTCATCAATTGATTAATTTAGTATTGCTGGTTTTATAGCTTGTACTGGAGGAATACCATGTGCAACTTTAATTTTTGTCACTTTTTTTGTTATACATTTGCATAAATTCTTTTGAAAAAGTGCACGTCTCACTTGTCGACGAAATCGAGCTGATGTCGCATAATAAACATAAAAGCCACCCTAAAAATACAAATCAAATGATCACGATAAAAATAAAAAATAAATCACCTACCGAATTATTCATAGTATAGACTGCATTAAAACATGAACGGATTAATTGATCAACTGCAACAGCAAATTCATTAGTCTGATCAACTGGATTATTAATTTGATATATTCGAAAGCAAATATAAGGAATAGTTGTAATAGCAAACAAAGCAACTCGAACAAGTATCATTGCTGTTAGTTGTTGATCAAGACGTCTTCGAACTAATGCAATGTGTCGTTGTACAAGACGGCGAACATTTTGATAAGCAAGGAAACTAAATAATGATGATATAAATATTGGTACAAAACCATTAATTAAACAAAAATGAATAAATGAAAAGAAATAATTAAATCCCGGATTAAATGTTGCACATATTATTTGAATATCTTCAAAAATCAAAAAAGGAATGTCGTATATAATTGCATAGATAAGCAACCCCGAAACAGCACGTTGTGCTAACTTGTAAGTACTAATTTGTCTTAAACGAGGATAATGATTTGTTGATAAATATTGATCAATAGCAGAAAAACATTGATTAATTGTTAAAACTACTGATCCTGATATACTCAAATATGTTCGAAGTTTACACCAAGCAAGAGATGTTTTTGTTGGATCATAACCAACAGTACTTGCTACAGTACGAGTTGTAGTTGCAAAAATTAATTGCCAACAATCAACAAATGACCCAACTGTAAGATAGAATGCTGATTGATTTTTTCGAAAGGTTTTCAATTGTGTAAAAACAAGAATATTGATAATATGACCTATTAAACCAGTAATTATAGTGAAATAACCCACATAGACAGTAATGATAAAAGAACTAGAGTTAATCGTTTGTTCAGTGGAATCCATTAAAGACAAAAATGTAAGCTTTTGCTTGCGTCAGTTGTGTTTAGCTTCTGTATGTTTGAAAGCGTTGAAAAATCTACATATGTTTAGAAAAAAACTCGTATATAAATTTATCTGCTATTAGAATATTCAAAGAGTATGTATCATTTTTCCATAGATATAATTGTTTAGGAACTGAAGAAGAAGAGAAAATTACGAATTAGTAAGATGAATCAATTGCAAATTTGAGATATCATTATATGATAGCCTGAAACGTCCGGCAAATAGTCATTAGTATAATTACCCTCAATTATCAGTCACATGGAAAGAATCTTCATTATTAATAATGAATTATTAGAGTAGCGTCTGTATGGTAAAATAAATATACGTTATCGAGTCCTCTAATAAATATTAATATTTAGGATATGATAGAGATTCGTGATTACAGAGGAAATCGACTTTTTTGGAAATGAAATTTTCTACTATTGATTTTCTTCTGTACTATATTATCTATTTCGATTATATACACGAGCGTTCTTCCTAATAAACAATAGTATATAGATCATCTAAAGTTTATAATGCAAATATTCAATTAGTTGTGAAGGAGTTTTACGACACTTGTAATTCTAATCATTTTATAAGTGCCGAAAAATATTTCCAATCAAATTCTTCTATGTATTTATATATTAGACATATTGTTGTTTCTAATAATAAAAAACAAGACAAAATAAGTGGACAATTTTTTCTAGATTCATCAATTATTTTTATGTAATATAAATAGGATGATTTTGAAAAAAACAACTAGTTTCCGGATGAAAATCTGTATATTTAGACATCTAATTGCTTGTTCAATAA